GGACCATTGTGGCGTTAGTTCACCGCACCCTCTGCCAGGTTCGCTGCGAGCGCGCGGTAACGGTTTTTAACACAGGATTCAATAGGGAGTTGGGAGTCCTTATTTATTCTCTTGGTCCATGCCTCGTCATTGTCATTGCTTGCACAACAACAGAAACAACAGCTCAACTCGAACTTGTTGGCTTGTGCTTGTGGCTGTTCTGTTTGCTGTTTTTCACAAATGCTACTAAAATTCTGTGAAACGGTCAAATTATTTTAACGATTACAGTGTCAGTTTTGCGGTAATTTATTACAACTTTACGAATAGTTAGATCGCATACTCCGCTTGAACGCTTCTTAAACGCATTGTGGGTCCATCACAATTACAAGTGCATTGAATGCATCAAGTTCTGTGATAAGATGTACTAGAACGGAGGGTTGTCACATCCTCCTGTCGTCAGTGCACTCTTATGACTACCTACGGATAGGAGTTCAGGAAACTAATAACAATACATTTATATACATAGTAGCCAGTCAAGGCAGATAGAGCATTACTTAGAGCAGCTCCGCAACAATTTTTAAAGAGTTGGTAGTATCATCCGAGATGTCACTGAGCACGCCTATCCAATTGGTAGCCTTGATGATGTCATCATACTGTCCTCAACTTTTCTTTTCCTTTTTCCTCTCATGATGTCCGTATTAAATTTAGCTGATCCTGAGCTGGAGGCCAAAACGAAAAAGGGTAAACATTTATCAATACTTTTTTTCCCTCTGAAGTGCAATGCTTTTTGTCCGAGCCAATTGAGGCATGCCTACTCTAGCCTGCCGACCTGGACACGGAGTTTACTCCAATGACAACTCACTAACTTCATTATCGGATCTCGGCATGGTGGAACTGGTGTGTGATGTATCCCATTGATCAGCCCGTATCGCACGATCCCATTAGAACCCTCCAAGTGGCAGTAATTCTTTAATATCTCAGCTAGTTCTGCTCAGAATTCCTTGAAAATTTCAAGATCTTATCTATAATGTGCCCCAAATGCAGCGATTACCTTGACAGATTGTCAAGCTGATGATCATCGTTGACATTGATGAGCCGTTTTGAGGGCAGTACCATGGCTCTACTTTGATCATGTGATACAGGCAATTAAGCCAATAATATTGGCAGATTTTGACTCTTTAGCCAAACCCCAACACAAGCTCAACCAAAATTATTACCAAATTCAGATAAATGAAGACAGGATTCTTCTGGCACCAAATCGTCTATTTTGACACAAAGTTTGACTACCGAATAGAAGGCACAGCAATTTTTAAAGAAAAATCCTGATTTTGTTTCTGTGAAAGCTAATTTTTTGGTTTGGAATGACTCATTAGGCTCATGCACAGGGGTTACTGTTCATCTTTGGGCTAAAAGGTCAAAATCTACCTAGATTTTTTACCTTATCAATGCGATATATTGGACACCAGTTCGACCATGCTGAGAACACGGGACAAATCACCGAAAGTCTCTCCGTGCAATTTGCAACCTATGTAAGGCATCCCTGAAGTATTCATTGTTTTCTTCAATACCCTACTATTGCAAGTAGCTAAGCATGCAGAGTAATCACTACCTATAGTCAGACCAATTTACCATGGATATTGCTGATTTAAAGAAAAGAAAAACCCGAAATGCAAAACTAATCGGAGTCAAGAGCTATCCTAACATTTTAAGTGTCATTGACTCATGAAGGATGGGTTGTTGTATGGAAGTCTGATCTTCCATTTTAATATTAGGTAAGTTATTTTTCCCCGGGCGAAGAAGTTAGACCAAATCTCTACATCCATCAAAATAAAATGACAAGAAAAGGGACCCTGCACACTCCTCAAGTTAGCCCACTTTCAAACTGGGGCTCTCAAACTGGCACCATTTCTTCTATTCCTCAGCCGTTTCTGCACGAAATTCCTTTAAAATTTAAAGATTTGATCTGTGATGTATCCTGAACACATAGGTTACCTTTAAAGATCGTTGGGCCAACGATCTTTGAAAGGCAACAGTCAACAGTTCCATCAATGAGGCTCTTTGAAGCCCCTAGTTTGAAGGTGGGCTGGACGCTTATTGGGGATGTGTACCACGATCGATCACTAATTTTTTAGTGTATTTTCCGAAGAAAATACACTACCTATTGCATTCTCCCATGATGTTGGACCCAGACCTGAGACTTAGTGAAGAGTACCGATTGCGGGTCGCATATCACAAAAATAAGTGCTATTCAATTCATGTGTACATACAGGGTGTTCGGAAGTTAATGTAGGTACTTAAGTTTCAGGATCGATTTTACAGCTCCAAATATGACAATTTTCTCCTACAGGTACACATATGCCCGCAAACGCTTCATAAGTTGCCATTTTTTTTCTTTCAAATTGATGTAACTCCTCGTCATTTTGTCATAAGTAGTTGAAACTTGGTGTAGAGGGGTATTTTTGAACGCAACGGTCATTTTCATGTGTTCAAGGACGTAGGTACGTTTTCGGGAAATGACTTAACGAGCATTCCCGAATTTTAAAATTGCGATAACTTTTTTGGTAGATGATATTTGGAACAACGGATTACTCCACGTGAAAGAGCGCGAAAAATCAGAGCCTCAAAGTTACGCACAAAATTTTCCAGAAACGCGTCATTTCGACGCAACAGAGCTTCGAAAAAGTTTCAGAGTTTCGAAGCTCCTTGCTGAGTAGGCAATTTTTACTGCAAGGACTGTAAGAAAATTGCCTCCAGAGCAAGTGGCTTCGAAACTCTGTAACTTTTTCGAAGCTCTGTTGCGTCGAAATGACGCGTTTCTGGCAAATTTTGTGCATTTCTATGGGGCCCTGATTTTTTGCGCTCTTTCACGTGGAGTAGGTAATCCGTTTTTCCAAATATCATCTACCAAAAAAGTTAGGTATCGCAATTCTAAAAAAATTCGGGAATGCTCGTTACGTCATTTCGAGGAGTTGCATCACTTTGAAAGAAAAAAAATGGCAACTTGGAAGCGCATAGCCCACTTATGAAGCGTTTCCGGGCATATGTGTATCGGAAAAAATAGTCATATCTTGAGCCGAAAAATCGATCCTGAAAGTTAAGTAGGTACGTTAACTTCCGGACATCCTGTATACAGGGTGTTCCAGAAGTCCGTACCGACACCCCCCCCCTCCCCCCGGTAACTTTTGAACGGTTAGAGATTGAAAAACGAAACTTTGAGAATGCTTCCACTTCAAAAGGGACCATCTTCTAGGGTAGGGGTGTTCAAACGAATTCTTTCTGGAACACTATCGACATCGTCTCTTATTGAAACTAGCGGCAGTACCGACAGTGGCGATGATATCGACAACAGCCGGCCTTATCGGAGTTTTGAGAGCTCGCACTCAATGCATTGTTGCCCCGTGTGTCGGTTTATCAGATTAGCTGGCGCGGCGGCGCGTAAAATAGATGTACAAATGGCAACAGCTTATTTTCGCCAGCTGCGAAAACTCTGATCGCTATCGACTAGAGCGCTCTTATAGTAACTTTCTCTTATCGGAACTGTCTCGGTAGCTTACTGAAAACCGATAGAACAGCCCTATTCTAGGGGGGTCAAAATTGTTTTCCCTCCCTCCGGAGGGGGGCGGGGCTAACTTTTTTTTTCATATGGACACCCCTATCTTGTGATACATCATTGGAAAGAACATATAAAACTAAGAATTTTGGCGTAAACCGCAGATCAATTTCTTAATTTTTGACCGAGTTATGATAGGTCAAAGGTCATATTTGACCTATTTTCAAAAAATCATAACTGCGGTTCGAATTATTGTAGAGAAAAAAGTAAAACGGGAAAATTTACCAAATTTTAAGCACTTTAAAGTAAAAATAACAGAAATCACTTCAAACTAATTTTAAGGGGGGTTCGGACCCCCAAATACGTCAGTTCAAAGGGCATACGATTTTCCCGCGAAATGAGCCAATTTCCCCTTACTTTGCCTCACCATTATTTCCTTAAGTTCAAAATCAGTTCATTCAAGTCCCCTAATTGGGTGCAAAGTTTTAAAAAAAACGAAATTCTAACGGTTAAATTAAGTCACGTTAAAATTCCTTTTTCGAACTTTACCTGAAATCTAGGGACTTGAAAACGCAATGTTGAACTAATTTTGAACTTACGGAAATAATGGTGAGGCAAAGGAAGGGGAAATTGGCTCATTTCGCGGGAAAATCGTATGACCTTTGAACTGACGTATTTGGGGGTCCGAACCCCCCTTAAAATTAGTTTGAAGTGATTTCTGTTATTTTTACTTTAAAGTGCTTGCAATTTGGTAAATTTTCCCGTTTTATTTTTTTCTCTACGATAATTCCAACCGCAGTTATGACTTTTTGAAAATAGGTCAAATATGACATTTGACCTATCATACCTCGGTCAAAAATTAAGAAATTGATCTGCGGTTTACGCCCAAATTCTTAGTTTTTTATGTTCTTTCCAGTGTTGTATCACAAGATAGGGGTGACCATATGAAAAAAAAAAATTTACCCCTCCCCCTCCCGAGGGAGAGAAAACAATTTTGACGCCCCTAGAAGATCGTCCCCTTTGAAGTGAAAGCATTCCCAAAGTTTCGTTTTTCTATCTCTAACCGTTAAAAAGTTACCAGGGGAGGTACGGACTTTTGAGACAACCTGTGTAAATGTATACAGGGTTATCCAAAAGTCACCTACCACCCCTGTAACTTTTTTCCTAATTGAGATAGAAGTTTGAAACTTTGGGAATGTTCCTCGGTTTAAGGTAGCAACTTTTTGGTCCCCTCAAAATTTTGGGGGGGCGGGGGCTAACTTTTTTTTTTCAAATGGCAACCCCCCTTTTGTGATACCTCATTCAAAAGATAATAAAAAAAGAAATTTTTTGGCGCAAACCGCAGGTCAAAATGTTGATTTTTGACAAAATGGCAGCCGGTCAAAGTTCAAAATGGCGGAAATTTGGCATCTCCGTTTTTTATCGGCGGATTGGTCTGAAACTCAGAATCCTAGGGTTTTTCGGGACGAGAAAATTGATTCTGGCACTAAATTTCCAAAAATGTCAGTCCTTTTCAAAATGGCGGCGGTTAAAATGGCGGCGTGGAGCGGGAAGTGGATATTTAGGCTGCTTATCGCCGGATTTGTATGAGACTTGGTATCCGGGGGTATTTCGGCACGAAAAGAACGAATCTTTCATTGGATTTTTGGAATTTTTAAAAACTTTAAAATGGCGGCAAAAATGCGAACGGCGATGATGGATGCGGATTTTCCGTTATTTTTTCCGCTACGATTTTGACGATATTCAGTGTTTCCAAAATCTAATGGAAAATTAATTTTTTTCGAGCCAAAAACCACCAGAGTATTGACTTTCGTGCAAATCTATCGGTAAACAGCCTTGATATGGATTTTCCGTCATTTTTTTTGCCGTCATTTTAAAGTTTTTAAAAATTCCAAAAATCCAACGAAAGATTCGTTCTTCTCGTGCCGAAATACCCCCGGATACCAAGTCTCATACAAATCCGGCGATAAGCAGCCTAAATATCCACTTCCCGCTCTAAGCCGCCATTTTAACCGCCGCCATTTTGAAAAGGACTGACTTTTCTGGAAAACAAATGCCAGAATCGTTTTTCTCGTCCCGAAAAACCCTAGGATTCTGAGTTTCAGACCAATCCGCCGATAAAAAACGGAGATGGCAAATTTCCGCCATTTTGAACTTTGACCGGCTGCCATTTTGTCAAAAATCAACATTT